GGGGGGGGGGAACCAGTGAAAACGCTTAATATTTTGCAATCGGGAATCGTGTTACACGATGGTTCCGGAAAGTGAATTCCCAAAGAAGGCTGTTGGTATGTTGGTGACAGGGGCTGAAGTTTTCAAAAATCTAGGCCGACACCATCGAGTCCAAATTTCTCACAGCAAATAAGAGGAGCAAAGAAGCTTTAACTACATGACTTGTGTGCTTACCTATCTACTGTAGGCTTCAAAATGTTGGCGTGCAAAATATTTTCTTTCCATGGCTGAGAAGAAAAGAGAGGAAAAGACATGTTAATCCGTTGTCGAAATTTGAATTTAAATTTTAACTAGTAATACTATCATTGGTTGTCTTTACACTAGGCTGTTAAGTAAGACTTAAGAGCTGCTAAGTTTTACTTAACTAAAAAATACGTGTGAAGGCCTAACAAAAATCTCATTCCGACAAGTAACCTTACTTTGCATTCCATTAAAGTCGGAAAGTTGAAACGATTCAAGAAAGTTTGAAGTGACTTGAAAACCATCCTTAAAACCGACTTAGTGAACTTGCGGTTTCCAAAGCTTTGAGAAAGGCGAAGCATGTCAATCAATCTTAATTATTTTGCGTGGGAAACTAGGCTTAAGTAAACCTGAAGTAAAAAAGATAGGTTATGTGTGAAGCTTTCTTTTACTTGAAGAATTTACAATTTACTTGTCTTGAAATATTTCTTAGCTTATTTAGGTTCTAGTGTGAGGTCCTCTCCCTTTCATCCCACCACCAGTCCATAAATGCAAATGTACATCAAGGTTTGAAATAAGTGCTCAACCACTCGCCAAATGCGGGCTTCTTAACCTGATAATTCATTCATCAAAACGTTGCTGTAGTTTTGATTTAGCTTTTCCTTTTGTAAAGGCGAGACAGGACCAGCATATTAATTTCTTAACACTCATAACTTATTCCCCATCAAAAGAAAGTGTGAAAAAGGCAAGGACTCCCCTTCGAGTTTATTGAAACTCTTGAGATATATTCGTGAAATTGCGAAACAGAATGAGAGAGGAAGAAGACGACAAACTTTGTGTGACAAGCGTGACAATAATTTTGTTTTAAAAAACTTTCCGCCAATCTTCACCCTCTTTTTAACAGATCTTATTGTAAAAGACCAGAAAGCATTAATGGGAAGTAAAAATCACAACAAAACGCGCAAGTAATAACCATGTCAAGTTGTCAAACACCAGCGTTTTGCCGTCCTCTTCTTTCTGCCGTCCTGTTACCTAAACTCACTATTACTACGATTAGGCCTGTTGGGTAAATTGTGGTCCAGGTAACGGACAATTGTCGTACCTTATTAAGTTCGTCCACCGAGCTGAGTCAGGTTTCTTAGGGTGTACGTTTGAGACCATCGAGGTCTTTTTTCCAGGGAATATAAATCCTTTATTAGTTCTCCAGAGTGCTTTGGAGTCTGTAAGTTCTCGTTTCTTTACAGTCTCTGGGTGAATGGGGAGAACTGTAGCAGAGTTGTATAAAGGGCAGTAGGTAAAACGTCTATCTTTTTCCTACGAAAGGAATAAGTACAATTAGCTTATTCAAGCGACAATACCAAGTTTAAACCTTGCGAGCCGAAGTAGCCAGAGCCCAAACTTCTGGACTAGTCAAACTTATTTTCTCTCGTTAAACTGCCTTTTTCGAGTGCGAGCATATGTTTTTTTTTTCTATAGAATGTGATGAATATTACGCACGCTGTGATTGGCCGTTGCCCATGATTTATTTAAGTACAGACTTATGGATGACGACAAAGGTAATCAAGAAATAGGTGGTAATGATCGAAGACAGGAGAAAAACGCGGAAAAAATCAACCGGCGCCAAGAACGGATAACCAAGCAACATATAGTGATGGAAGGGTAGCGCACAACGGGTGTCAATTAATTACATACCCTGGCTAGGACTTCTCTTAGCTTTTCTTTGGACAGTTCAGTAGAGTTCAGGGTCTGTATGCTGTAGTTATGCGCAGTGTATTGATGAAGATCAGTCATGTCTACAGCAATAGTGTGCGGTCTTCTTTTAGGTTCTGTTGTACGAGTCCTCATCTAAAGTAAAAAGAATTTGACAAGATAGGTCATAACAATCCGCAATACCAGACTGAACAGAATCAAACGCAAGTCCAAATATTGTAGAATGTTCCAGGTGCTCAGATAGTAGGGACGTCGCGAAAACAAGCTTAGCGAAAATAAGACGAGCGGTATCTGGGGAAGGAGGCACGCGCTTAATTACTGATGGGATAAAAGCGATATCACGTGGTTTCTCATGGGGCAAACAAGTGATAAATTTTTCCAATACTAGAAATCGAGTTCGAGTTTGTTTATTCTTGACAACAGAAAATGGACAACTTTTTATATTAAAGACGATAATGGCAAATTATGCTTGAGAGTGACCATTTTTACTTGTTTGGATGCAGTAGCGACTGTAGATGTCCTTACAGCAAGCAATAATGACGTCAATTTTGTCGAAACTCAAACCGTACATTTTGCATGACTGTTTACTCGTCGTTTCATTTTAAGAGAATAAACAAAGTCGACCGCGATTTCTCGCATTGGCAAATGTTATCTTTTGTTTGCAATCTGAAATACCACGTGACATACTTTTATCCCATCAATCCTAGCGCGCGTGTAAAGATGGCGGGTATCGTGAATAAGGTCTATTCCGTGTTCAGATACACCACCATCCACCTTCTCTCTCCCCAGTCCCAGCTCGTCAACTACGCCTGACAAATTAACAAACGTACCAATAAAAATGTTTTTTTTTATCAGCAATGTTAAATATTTGTTTTACTTACAATATTCTCTTTGACGAAGTCATGTTTAACCAGTTGACCCTCTCTTTCCTTAAGAAGTGCAACATAATCAGTGTTGTAAAGGGACAAGGGTGTCCACGGCCGAGTTGTCTTGGGTCTAGGGTCCTCCAGCCGGATGCCTGTACCAGCCTCTTCTATTTCGGATCTATTACTGGACTCTAGTTCTAGACGGCAAAAAAAAAGCGATATTTGTCAACGCTCTGTTATACTGTTTAAACAGTTTTGGAATGGTATGGTACGGTGGCTTATACAAGCACATTTAAATATACTACATATAGCACAACCACAATTCACGGAAAATAGAAACAGAACGAAATAGAACGAGTGCTCACGGCAATATACCGAGAAATCACGGAAACCCAACGAGTAATCAGGAAAAACACCGAAAAGTCACGAAAACAAAAAGTCAACTCGAAGCGAAACACTATAAGAGCTCACAGTAAAACCAACCAAGAAATCACAGCAACACAAGGAGAGATCGCGGAAAAACATTGAGAACTCACGGAAACGCAACGAGTAATCCCGAAAAAACACCGAAAAATCACGAAAACACAAAAAATAACTCTGAACTTTAATACGGTAACACAACGACAGCTCACAGCAAAACCAACCAAGAAATCACAGCAACACAAGGAAAGCTCACGCCAAAATACTGAGAACTCAAGTAAGTGAAATAATTTGTCAGTGTCAGCAGCGAAGTGGGAAAAGGATACAGCAAGGACAAACAGATTTTAACAAGGTGCGCAGTCCGTTGGAAATGTCCTGAAAAAAAATTCAGGAAGATTAAGAAGGAAAAGACACCACCACACACCAGCATCATGCAGTGCAGGGAAACGGAAGAACTATACGGAGGGTTACTTGCAAAAGTGTAAAAGAAAAGTACAGAATGAGCCACTTCAGACCTAGTCTGCTCTACAGCTGTTTTTAGTGTCGTCACGCAACGCTCCTCGGGAGGAGCGTTGCGTGACGGCACTAAAAACAGCTGTGTAGCAGACTACTTCAGACCTTAACAGGTTCTTTGAGTGTAGTTCTAAATAAGTAGAAATCAGAGACTTTAAGTGATGACCGGGCAACTCTGTCACTCTGAAGATGAAAGACCTCTTCGCAGCCCAAGAAGGATGGAGAAAAACAGAGAGAGATGAAATCTGGAAAGCAGGATGCAAAATAATAAAGTGAGTAACAAGGTCGTATAGCAAGGAAAATTAGAACAAGAGCAGTTTAAATGAGATCTTTCGTGCCCACACGTTCCCGGGCCTGGCCATCTTTCTTGTAATAAGCCGCGCGTCGGCCACCGGCCGTGACACCTGGCGTTGAATAGCCTTCGAACTGCAGACGTATTTCCGGTCGTCGGAGGGAGAGAAGCGACGACTGGAAATACGTCTGAAGTTCGCAGGCTAGCGGTTGAAAGGAAAGATTCCTTTTGAGGAGGTTGTTAGATGCTTCTTATTTTTATCCTTCCCATTACACTTCGCGGTCTCTGTTTGCAACAATATAACGAGAACTAGAAACGAGAGCGACCTGTAAGTGTTTTATGTGCTAAAAGTCACTACTGGTGGCCCATCTCTTATGACTGATTACATAATTCTTCCAAGTAGAGGTTTTATAACACACATGCTCCTTAGAAGAATTACACATGATGTTATGAAGGTATGACCACAAATCTACTAGTAGAGACATGCTTACATGTGTCTTTAACCAGGGTTTATTCTAGAAATTGGCCAATGAGGGTCAAATGGAACCCTTTCTGTGATTTTAGGGGGCCCTTTTTCAAGAAAGGGAACGAAGGTTTATTGACCCTTTGCCGCCATTTTGGAAAATTCTGTGCAACTGAAAAAGCCTGGGCTTGAATTACTGCAGAATCTCGGATGTTTGTCTGGTGAAATAATGACTCTAACGAAGAAGAGAAAGGCAATTGATACAGTAAGAGGCTATAGAAGTTCAAAGTAAGTTTATAGAGCGGCCGTCAAATCAGTGTTGTTGTCAGTGATGTTTTCCAATACTTAAAAAAAATAGTACTTATCCTTGGATCTTTTTTTACGCCCCATTTGACGCGCCAAGGAAAATTTTATGCGGCATTTTGTTCCAAACTGCGGAAATCCCGCAAGGTCGCGCTCTAGAATAAACCTTGTTTGACCATGATAATAACTTATATCACGACTCTGAGAAACTGTGAAAAAAGAAAATTACTTCCAAGAAAAGGCCCAGCTTAAGCGTGTTTTTCACTTCCTTTCTTTCGCTTTTGCAAGGTGACTGAATGGCCGCGAGAAGTGCAGCAGCCCCAGTTTTGCTCCTCATCGACTTCTGTAAACGCCATTAGAAATGCAAAACTACTGCTCGAGATCCACAAGTCACCTACCTCCAAAATCCTCTGCAGTCAGTGGCACTCCAAACTCTCGACTCATAGACACAATCATGTCAGCTGAAGGAAATAAGTCGTTACGAGTCACCTCTCGGAGTTTCGTGACTCTTAAGATCTGCAAAAAATATGTGGCGATGACTGTTAAGCAACAACACTGACTATAAACTTGTTCCCAGCGTCATCTTAAGAGAGAGGGCCTTAAGGGGCCGCATTAAGGGGTGTTTAGAGAGTAAAGTAATTGACGTCATTTAGTAAATTTAAACCAGGTCTGTGCTCTAGCAGAGCCCGGTGGCCCCTGGCGCCCAACTTTTGCTCCTGGGCGACTAGAAAATCTCAGATTTTTCATACCAATCATCTGCTGGGCACTCTAGATTTTACAGGTTCAGAGCACTAGGCTAAACACTGTAGTGTAAAAGATATCATCACCACAAACTGAGGTCATGTCAGCAAGAATTCAGGCATTTTTGAACCAGCATAATTTTTATCCGGATTCGTGTGGACGGTAGTCTCTTTTAGGGTCGTCACGCAACGCTCCTAGGAGGGTTGCGTGATGACCCTAAAACGACTGCGAAGGAGACTATGTGGACGGGAACTTAAGGAGAGCGCATTTAAAACAATATGGTTACGGTGACCGGATTAACTGGTTTTATGTGAACGGAGGGCAGATTAGTGTAAAAAAGTATGCGGTTTCAAAAATACCCGGATTCATGTAGACGTAGCCTAAGTATGTATTAGAGACCTTTAGATTCGAGGACGAGAACGACTACGAGTACAAGATTTGACTTAAAGTTTTTTCAGGTATTCTCAAAATATAGACTCCACGGAAAGCGTCATTTTACCATTTTTCACTAGAAACGTTAGCACTTTTATCTTTAGTGAAGGGGGTTACGCGCTTTCCCGATCGCAAAATGATAAAAGTTCTAACATTTGATACTTTGTTTTCGCCACAAGCTAAAAGGCTCGTAGTGGAATGACGACGGCTACCACGTTTTCCCGCCTAAGTGACGCTGGTTCTCGCGCAAGCACTACTTAGTATTCAAATCTCATACTCGTAGTCGTACTCGTCTGAGACTCTAAAAGGTCTCTATTGTAACGACTTTTCCTGCAATTGCAGACAGGATAGCTATTTTATGGAGGTCACTCGAAATGTATTTTCTCGCGTTAAGGAATGCACGTTGTTTCAGTGCTTTGCATATGGATGTGTTGGTATTTGTCGCGTGAGTTATATTGACAGTGTGCGTGATTATTTGTTATCATGTATATAAGGTGTTCTTTGCAGATTCAAGGTCACTTGACGGCATCTCTCGCTACCGTTCTGTAAATTATGGATGGCACTGATTTTTCTCAATCGAACATCGCTGGTCCTGCGATCGGTCAAGAGAGCGGCCTTTCAGGCGAGGAAACGGTGGGATTAACTTCCCGTCTCCTGGATTCAAAGTTGGATAAAAAAAATTTGCTGATTTTAAGCGTGCTCTCGTGCAGAAGGAGCTTTCGACTAACTCTCAAATCAAGAAGTTGAAGACTGAGGCGAAGGCTTCCGGTAGCTTCCAGTTTAAAGGTAACAAGCTACAGTTTGAGTTCAATTCAAGCTTGTTAGACTCTATAAACATTGCTTTCGATCACCTCCACGAGGAAGACTTGTCAGGTGTTAACAAGGAGCTTGAGAACGTCAAAGCGTCACTGAACAAACAAAACAAAGTTGTACGTTTTAGAGACAAGAGTTCCGCTGGTTGGGCGGCGGTGGAAGAGTATGAATCTGACGAATTGGCCGACGATTCGGAAGACGAGAAGAAACTACGATCTGCCGAAAGAAGGGCGCTCTCCAAGATTCGCCTGCGTAAACAGTCTCGAAGTTCTGGTCAGACCCGCAAATTTCAGCAGGACCGTGATGGCCCTCTGGGCGCCGGAGGTTCTTCGAACAGCTCTACTTCTCAGCCTTTTCGCCACCAGCCATTTATTCAACAGTCCTTTCGGTCGTATCGGAGTACTCGAACACCACAGCCTTCCGACAAATGCTTCGCCTGCGGGCAGTTTGGGCACTGGGCAAACTCGCCTTTCTGTCCTAGCTACAGCCGCGCCTACGGCAACAGGGCCTTGCCAGCTATCTCAACCACTACCGTTAACAAATAAAGGAACTCTAGAAAGACTTGGAACAGATGAGTATCGTAATGTTGTAGATCCGTTTAGTACTTTTGTCGGAATTGAAGAAACAGACTTATTATAGAACGCAGTTATGTAGATTATTTTGAGGGTTCTGAATCAGTTATCGTGAAGGGGACGTTGAGAGCTAATGTTCAGTTTTGGGAAAGCAGT